ACAGATATGGTTCCTGGGCAGAAGAAAAGAATTGCACACACTGCAAAATTTGATGTGAGTTTTCATCTGGGAATTTGAGAAATATGTCTGCATAATATAAACAACTAGTAAAAATACTAGCTTTTATAACCTCAACCTAAAGTTAATTTCTCTTGAGGCTCATCGTAAATAAAATATGGTAGGCCAAAAGTAAATGGTGCGTTTTAATATACAGTAAAACTCCATTAGTCCGGCATCCAATGATCCGGCACTCCTGATAGTCCGGCACCTCAGGAATCCAGAAGTGTTCAGGCAGCTGGACAAATGGAGCTGCTCTATGTCTGGCTTTCCCGATTCAGCTGCTACTGAAACTGACCAGCGGCTGATTCCGACAAGCCGGGGGCAGAGCAGCTGGGGTGCTGCCCGGTTGGTCCCGTAGCACTGCCCCTTGGGGATGCGGGACCATCCCGGCAGCAGCGGCTGCTCTGCTCCAGGTGTCCCCAAGAGCAGCTGGGTGCTGCCGGGTTGGTCCAGTAGCGCACAGAGCGGCGCTGCGGGACCAACCGGCAGCGCCCCAGCTGCTGTACCACAGGCATCCGGAGCAAAGCCGCAGAGCACGGGGGCAGCGGGACAGCCCAGAAGCGCCGTGGCTGGCCTAAACTGACCAGCAGCAGCTGAATCGGGGATGCCAGGGGCAGAGCCGGACTATTGGAAGGGGGGGCTATGAGGAGTCTGGTTGATAATCCAGCCCCCCGGGTCCTAAAGGTGCCGGATTATCGGAAGTTTACTGTAAATGGCTTTTGTACATTTTCTTTAACCTTTCTAAATTAAACTTTAGCCAGCTCCAAGGTTACTGTTGGCTGAACTGTAAGACTGCAACTTCAGATATATGTTTTTGCTTCACTGAGCTCTCAAACAGCAAACATACCACCACACTGAAAATTATGACTGTCAGGAAAAAATTGAAGAAAATATTAAATATAGGGTGCCATTGACGCTAATGTAATTTTGCTTACAACTTGTTCTAATTTAGTACAGGGTGCCCCACTTTGAGCTGGCAGACAAGCCATTCTACCAAATACAGCTAAATGCCGCAAAACTACTTGTTTAACAGCCTTGTTCAAAACTTGCATTACCTGCTTGAGATCCTGCTATTATAGACACTTGTTTTCTTTTTTTTTTGACTTTCATTTGAAGAATTGCATAATTAGTGAGTATAGTCCCACTGAAGGTCATTGGGGCTAGTCACTGTTTATTTAGCATATTCTGAGGCAACATTTGAAAACTCTGCTTAATTGTACTTCACTGAGCTCTGAATTATGACAACCCTCCTTGAGTTGAAAGTGTCTTGATGCATCCTGCATGATCTTTTAAAGTTGCTTTTTAAATGAACAGGATTAATAATGCCTCACATTTATTTTCAGTAGTGGCTTTTCTTTTAATTACAAAACATTAAGAAGTACGTCCCCGCTATATTTGGAATGTTCCTGTTTCTAGAAGCAAGATATGTTAGAACTCTTCAGTTACAGCCTTACAAGTCTCTGAATTTATTCCGCTGCTGCTAACATACCCATTATGAAAAACTGCATTTAGATGTTAGTAATATCAGCCAAAGGAGAAACAATTCCAAACTTTGTTCTTAGTATAAAACATAGAGTACAAATTAGTGTTTGTGGCACAGAATCAACATCTAATCTCTTAAAGGTTTATGTTCTTCAGTAATATGCACTATATAACTAACTTAATTGATATCCTTGTAATCTGATAAAGTTAAGTAAACAGTTAATTATCTTTATCTTCTAAAGATGAAATGTACTGTATTTAACATTTAATCTGATATTTTGCTTGGCATCCGTTATAAATATCCCAGGCCAAATGAGCTGTGTGTCTGTATAAAATATATACTTGTAAGAACTAAATATATACACACCAAATAGGTTCATAGCAAATTCTATAACTTAAAAACTTTTCACAACAAAGGAGTTTGCATATGGATGGTTGTAGACTCAGGCTTTTTTTAGTTGTCTTGTGAGGATTTTGCTAAAATTCATGGTTTTGTTTACTTTCAGACTGTTTTCCCTTCCACCCCAAGCAGAAAGAATTGTATTATGTGCCCCACTATGGAGGGCAGGAGTTACACATCAGCTTTATATTAGTGCACATAAAAATCATATGGTAGATTTGGAGTCAAGGAATTTGTATGGGAGGGGGCTCAGGACTGGGGCAGAAGGTTGGGATATGATGCAAAAGGCTCTGATAGGGCATGTGGGCTTTAGGGTGGGATCAGGGAGGAGGGGCACAGGGCCGTGAAGTAGGGTTGGGGTACAGGAGGATGTTAGGGGTCCAACTGGAGATGCAGGCTATGGAGTTAGGACTGGGTTGAGGGGATTTGGAATGAAAGAGGGTGCTTCAGGGCTACCAGAAGGACAGAAGACTCCCCCATCTCTCGTTGCAACAGCACCTGGTCTAGGAGGCAGCTCTGGAGCAATAGCTACAGGAAAGGCACCTGTTCCCTAGCCCCTGCAGATGCCTGCTGGGGCTGGGTTAGAGCTGAGGGAAGGCCTCCCTGGCAGTGTCAGATCCTAGTGCAGAGGCTGGGACCCTGAGGGCTGGGCTAGGTTGGGGAAGGAGATCAGTCTTCCCTAGCTACAGCAGGCCCCTGATCAGGGTCTGAGTGCTTGCGTAGTGCTATATAGGCAGCTTCACAGCCACTTGGCTTACGAGAAGCTTAGCCTTCAGGTTGAGATGTTGGCCATATGCTATCTACAGGTCTTCATCTGGGAAGGATTGGGAAACTTATGAAAGTCATGACTTTTTGCTTAGGAGGCATGTTGTGTGTCTTTTCCAAAAACTGTCATTTCGTTTGTATTCAGATCTTCTGTAAAATGTTGACTTGAATTTCTAAAGTCCTTTGTTTCAGTCTTGGATATCTTAGAAACTGTTTTATTCTACCTCATTTTTTACACTGGTGTTTGAAATCAGCTAAGTTACTTTGCAGTTGGTTGGGTGAGTAACACGAGTTTTTTTAAATATATTTATATATTATAAATGCCTGTGGGCTTGAACCTCAGTTGATGTGGAGCTTCACTGTCTTCAGTGGCTTTCTGTTTACTTATGCCAGCTGAGAATCTGACCCTCTAGCTTGTCTTGTTGTGGAAAAAATGTCTTTGAGAAGGGATATTGAAGTGATGGCGGAAGCATGTCATCTTGTAAATGTATTTTCCTATGACTGTTAGCTTGTGATTTTGGAAGTGTATATTGACACATGCAATTGGATGAACATTCCATTTTTTTCGTGCTCATTAGGTACAGAACAACAAAGAAATACTTGTGCCTTTTAAAGCTCCTCTTCCACAGCAGGCTTGCCATACCAGAATCCTGCAGGTACAGCAACAGGCAGCACAGATAACAGCTGCTGTTAAAAGTGGACAAGCTTTTGTTGCTGCAACTTCTGGTCAGAAGAAAACTGTACCTGTATTGTCAACTACTCAGATTCAAAACATAGGACCGATGGGTATGACAACTCAATGTACTATATAGGCTTCACAAATTGGGATAAGCCAGGTTTTTAAATAAATTGTAGTCTTCAGATAACTTAAAAATATTTTCAACTTTATTCCAAAAGTGATCATTCTTAAACATTTTGGATGCCTGAATGAATCCTTAATTCAGTTTATTATAGTAAGTATTAGTGTAGTTCCACTGATTGAGTCAACATTTTAATATCAGTTTACATAATGCAATTAATTTTGTATTTGGTTTTGGCTGACGTTCTCAATAAAATGTTTTCAGGCAATTTTGTGAGGCAGGAAAGAACTTTGAACAACTAAAATGGTTTCAAGTTGCTGTCATGTATATAGGGTTTCTTTGAAACCCTAAAGCATGGCAATCCCTGTCTTTCTTGGCCTTATGTATTTGCTTTCCTGAAAGCCTTCCTACAGTTCATCGGGTCTCAAACTGCTAGGACCCCAAACTAGGGGTCCTCATTTTAATGGGTTAGAGGTGTTGGGCCCAGGCTCAAGTCCAAACCCCAACAGACAGGGCTGATGCCAAAGCCTAAGGGCTTCCATGATAGCAATAAGGCTTAGGCTCCAGACCCCTTTTCCCAGGTCAGACAGTAATTGTTGTTGTCTGAAGAGGGTTGCAGTGTAATGAAGCTTGTGAACGGCTTTTTTAAAAGAAAGTACCAAAAACTTAACATTTAGACTTTTCTATTCTCATGTTAACATTAAAACTGTCATGGCACTATACTAAGTTTAAAAGTCTCCTTTTTTTTTTATTAAGTCTGACTTTCAAAAGGAGTACTCTCTGCCAGTTCTTGTGCTGCAAAAATATTTGTTTGTTCAAAGCCGTTGCTATGTGAAAAATCCATTTAACAGTGAATACAGGATTTCCCTTCGTGGTACATCTAGACTACATGTTTTTTTTGGAAAAACTGCCTTTTTTTTTTTTTTTTTTTTTGAAAACTTCTCCTACATCTGCACTGCAGTCCCATTCTTTTGAACTTAAATCAAAAGAATGCAGGTTTTATTCGACATTGGTAAACCTCAAATTATGAGGAAGAACGCCTTTTTCGGAAGATCTGTGTCCACGCATGCCTTTTTTTTAAAAAAAAATTGTATTTATTTTTTTTAATTTTGAAAGAACAGGGATATTTTTCGAAAGAAGCAATTGAAAAAAGCACAGGTGCCCTGGTGGCCATTCTGTGAGTAGCAATCAGGGCTTTCTCTGAGAGAGCGTCCATTCAGACTGGCTACTCCTTTCGAAAAAGCAGATTGCTTTTTTCGATCCGGTTTTGAGATGTGGACGCTCTTTCAAAAGAAGCTTTTTCTGAAGATCTCTTCTGAAAAAGCTTCTTTTGAAAGAAGCTTGCTGTTGAGATGGATCTCAAGAGTATAATTAGTGTTTCTCAGCTGTCTTTTCATTTTCTTTTCTATTCCCTTCATCAGTATGGTAGAAATTAGTGTCAAGAGGATCTATTTAGCCTAATAGCTATAATCCATATGTTATGTTGTAGGCTTGCAGCCTATTTCTAAACTGTGGTGATTTACTTGTGGTTTGTTTCCACATTTTGGAAATTAGGTTTTATTTACATACCTCAAAAGCTTGTTCTGGTCTTATGCTAGGAAAACACTTTTAGAACTCAAAGTTTTGTATACGTTTACTTGTATAAGTATCTTATTTACCATCCTGCAACTTATCACTGTAATGTGAGTTCCTTCCACATAAAGTAGATTAGCAAAAGTGAAGACTTTGGTGTGCCTTTGAGTCTGCAGCTAGTCTCCTAAATTTTTAGCTAACTTTGAATTTGGTAAACAATGTAAAATTGTAACCAGTTTGTAACACAATTGGGATTGAGCAACAAAATTTTATGTATTAAAAGACATAATTTACCTTCTGTTATTTCAGTATGTTTAAATTTGCTTGATGTTCAACCTGTTGCAACCAGCAGTGGTCAACTGAATGTATTCCTTCAAGGAAATGCTGCTACAGTGATGCCATGCCGACCTTCTAATATTTCAGTAAAAAGGATTTCTCCTATGCCTATTAAGGTACTGTAGTAGTAGTAAAATGTACATGCACATGTGCCCAAATTCTGCAGTTATCAACTCCTCTTGTTTACGTATGGAGGCTTGCTTGCTATGAACTGCAGAAAATGCAAGTATTAAATGTTAACTTTTTTCTCCATATTTCATAATCACCTTCTATAGGAAGTACTGATTTAAAGTTGATTTGATAATACTAACACTTGGTGGTCTGTGTGGTTACAGGTGACTACATTTGAACAGTAATGGTATACTACCAGGGATGTAAAGTCCTGGGTAATCAGTTAACCTAGTGTTTAACCAGTTAACTGATTAAGTGATGGTTCCTGAGGAGGGTGGCATTGCCCGCGCATGGCTCCCAACCCCCATGTGGGATAAAGCAGCCCTTCGCTCATGTTGGGCTGTGGTTGGGGGTCTGCTCCACCTACTGGTTAACAAGCATCTGGCAAGCATCAACAACTAAGAGTGATGCTTGCCGGGTAACTGGTTAACTGTTTACCTGATCACATTCCTAGTAGCAGAATTCTCCTGCCTCTTCATCCTTCTGCTGAGAAGTCGCAGATGTTGGATTGATTTCTCATAGGAATAGGTAGCATTGATTTGGTGTCTGGGTGTTAAATGTTTTACTTAAATGAAATACATCATATCCTGAACAGAGGTAGTCAGACAGCATGTAGGCAATTCATTCAGTAATCTCAGCCAAATCATCAGTAATAGGGTTTAGGGTTCAACTCTGCCCTAAGAATGTACTAGTTAGAGATTAAGGCAGAGAACGATATATTCTGATGGCAATTGCTCTTCCAAAAATACAGGCAGTCCCCGGGTTACGTACAAGATAGGGACTGTAGGTTTGTTCTTAAGTTGAATCTGTATGTAAGTCGGAACTGGCGTCCAGATTCAGCCGCTGCTGAAACTGATCAGTTTCAACAGTGGCTGAATCTGGACACCAGTTCTGACTTACATACAGATTCAACTTAAGAACCCCAGGCATCCCCAAGTCAGCTGCTGCTGAAACTGATCAGCGGCTGATTCCAGGAAGCCCGGGGCAGGGGCTTCCTGTAGTCAGCCACTGGTCATTTTCAGCAGCTGCTGACTAGGGGACACCTGGGGCAGAGCAGCTGGGGTGCTGCTGGGTTGGTCCAGTGGCACCCAGAGC